TGTCTCTCCAAGTTTTTAGCTGAATTGTGATAGGGTCTAGGGTTGTGCCCAGACCTTATCTACTGACTTGTGATCCAGGCCTTTTTTGAGTAGTACCTGGTGCATTATCTTGTCTAGGTGCCTACATTCCTTGCTACTAAATATTCCCTGGTCATCTGATAGTGGTATCATAACAAAAGTGGAAGCAACTGGGAACAACAGCAACTCAGCCACAAAGTGGTAGGCCACATAAAATGACAGAGCGGGGTCAGCGCATGCTGAAGTGCACAGTGCGCAGAAGTCGCCAACTGTCTGCAGAGTAAATGGCTAAAGACCTCCAAACGTCGTGTGGCCTTCAGATTAGCACAAGAGTGCTTAGAGAGCTTCATGGAATGGGTATCAATGGCAGAGCAGCTGCAACCAACCCTTACATCCCCAAGTGCAATGCAAAGCGTCGGATGCAGTGGTGTAAAGCAAGCCGCCACTGGACTCTAGAGCAGGGGAAATGTGTGCTCTGGAGTAACGAATCACACTTCTCTGTCTGGCAATCTGATGGCAGTGTCTGGGTTTGGTGATTGTCAGGAGAACAGTACTTGCCTGACTGCATTGTGCCAAATGTAATGTATGGTGCAGGGGGGATTATGATGTGGGGTTGTTTTTCAGGGGTTGGGCTTGGCCCCTTAGTTCCAGAGAAGGGAACTCTTAAGGTGTCAGCATATCAAGATATTTTTGACAACTTTATGCTCCCGACTTTGTGGGAACAGTTTTGGGATGGTCTCTTCCTGTTCCAACATGACTGCGCATCAGTGCACAAAGCAAGGTCCATAAAGACATGGATGAGCGAATTTGGGGTGGAGTACTGACCTCAACCCGATAGAACACCTTTGGGATGAATTAGAGCAGAGACTGCGAGCCAAGTCTGCTTGTCCGACATCAGTGCCTGACTTCAATAATACACTTCTCGAAGAATGGTCAAACATTTCCATAGACACACTCCTAAATCTTGTGGCCAGCTTCCCCAGAAGAGTTGAAGCTTGTACAGCTGCAAAGGGTGGGCCAACTCAATATTAAACCCTACGGATTAAGACTGCAATGCCATTAAAGTGTATGTTGGGTTATTCTGTTGACAACCCGCTATGAATTCCAGCCCAGTCATGGCTACAGGTGCCTGTAAGGTGGCTTCTTCTGATGAGGCTGCTTGGCTTGAACTTTCTGGGCTCACATTTGATAGGTTCAGCTAGATTAGGCATGCCTCAACATCAGTAGTCGTCATTTGCAGATTGGCTGACATACCTATTTATATACTGAGCCCACATCACCATCCTGAAATACCTGTTTATATAATGAGCACACAGCACCCACCTGCCATACCTATTTATGCAACCCCTGGCAAAAAGTATGGAATCACCACTCTTGGTTAATGTTCATTTAATTGTTTGTGTAGAAAAAAAAAATCACAGACATGCCTCAAAAACTATTTTCATTTAACATTCCAACCTTCTGACATTAAGAAACACTTAAAAAGAAAACTGTAGTCAATTGCAACTATTTTTGCAGAGGAAAAAAAATTTGGAATCACTCAATTCTGAGGAAAATGTTATAGAATCACCATGTACTTTGCAGTTCTAAAACAAACATCTGCATCAGATTACACCAGCTAATTAGAATGCAGTTAAAGAGTGCTTGCACACTTTGGTGAGCTGTTGACCAAGCTGATTGACATGAATCATGGCTCCAACACAAGAGATGTCAGTTGAAACAAAGAAGAGGATTATAAAACTTCTTTAAGAAGGTAAATCATCATGGAATGTTGCAAAAGATGTTGGTTGTTCCCAATCAGCTGTATCTAAAATCTGGACCAAGTACAAATCAAATGGGAAGGTTGTAAAAGGGAACTGTACTGCTAGACCAAGGAAGACATCAAAGCATCAAGATAGAAAAGTTAAAGCAATATGCCTTGAAAACAGAAAATGCACAACCAAACAAATGGGCAGAAACGAGTCAATGTATGTGGCCGAACTGTAAGACATCACCTAAAGGAAATTTACATACAGAAAAGCCAAACAAAAATAATCATTAACACCTAAACAGAAAAAAACAAGGTTACAGTGTGCTAACAAAAATCAATCATGATTGGATGAAAATGATATGCAGGGGGAGTGGGGGTCCATCAATTCTTAATCAGGGGGTCCCCCAATTCTCATTCTAAGGATCAGCGGGGAAAGGGAGGAGGGGGTACATCAGTTCTCATCCTAAAGGTCAGCCAACCAGGGGTCCATCAATTCTCATCCTAATAAGGGTCGCCCGGGGGGTGGTTCAATCAAATCTTGCCCTGATAAGGGTCAGCCAGGAAAGGGGATCCATTCATTCTCACCCTTATTAGGGTCAGTCGTAGAGTCCATCAATTCTCACTCTGAAAAGGATCAACCTGTGTGGGAGGGTTTACATAATGTCTCATCCTGATAAGGGTCAACCAGCCAAGGTGGTCATCAATTCTCACCCTGGTAAGGGTGTTTAGGTGAATGTCTCTAAATTCTTGGCCTGATGAGGGAGCAGCTGGGAAGGGAGAGGGGGGTTACATCACTTCTCATCCTGATAAGGGTTAGCTAGGGGGGCATCCATCGGTTATTGCCATGATAAGGGTCAGCCGGAAAGGGGGGGGGTGTCCATCAATTTTTAATCTATGGGTCAACAAGGGGGGACCATCAATTCTCATCCAAATAAAGGCCAGTGGGGGGGACATCAATTCTAACCTTGATAAGGATTAGCTAGCTTGGGGGTCCATTAATTCTCACACTGATAAGGGTCAGTCGGGGAGAGGTCCATCAATTCTCACCCTTTAGGTCAGCCATCCAGGGGTTCATCAATTCTCATCTTGATAAGGTTCAGCCAGGGGATGGAGGGCATCCATCAGTTCTCACTCTGAGAAGGGTCAGCCAAGGGTTGCATTAGTTTTCATCCTGATAAAGATCAGCCACCTCAGTATAAGTCAGCCAAGGGAGTCCATCAATGTTCATGCTGATAAGGGTTTCAATTCTCATCATGAGAAGGGTGAGCCAGGGGGTTCATCAATTCTCATCCTGATAAAGGTCCACAGTCAGGACAGGTCTATCAATACTGTCCCTACAAGGGTATCAATTCTCACCCTTATGAGGTCAGCCAGGGGGGATCTATGGGAAGATACAGCTAAATGCTGGTCTATATTTCAAAGAAGAACTCTCATAAGCATGTCTTTTCAAACATGCTCAGCTGGGTCTTGCACCCAGCAATTCAACTTCTTTGGTTGCTAGAATGCAGGGGCTAGACTGCACACTGTCATCGGTTATTGTGGAATAGGCAGCCAGGCTGCCCACACTATAGAAACACACAGCCACCTATGTCCTAGCAAACAATGACAGATTGCAGCTCAGCTGCTTGCATCCTTGTAATGAATTATGCTGTGTGGCCCTGCCACCTGTGTCCTAGCAACTAGTGAAGATAGTTCCCTGGGTGGCAGATCCAGTCGAGTCTAGCACTGCTCAAAAAGACAGTGGGGGGAACTGGGTGGAAGCCATCTAGCTGACTCAACCCTTCTTCCTGCGTACCTAGTGACAGCACCTGTCTTGAGGAAGTGTCTGATGCCAAGACAAGAGTTGTCTCACCACCCAATAAATATTCATCTTGCTAGGTGCAGTCAGACAGCAGTGTTGGGGGGGGGGAGGGGGCGCTGTCGACTATGCTGTTTCAGGAACAACACCACTTACAAAGATGAGGACAAAGTGTTACTTGCACTTTGTTGCATGGGGAACAGAAGCTACTTAAAAAAAAATGTTGGTGAAAATTCCTCTTAGAGGGCATCAAGTGAAGCATCATCAAACAGCCACACATCATTTTCAGTGAATATATTACTAGTTGCCAGAGGCTATAGGCATGCTACAAGAGATTGTGGGACTATGCGTATGCTAAAGAAGGTAGTGTGACTATGGGCATGTTACAACAGATAGGGAGACTATGGGCATACTGCAAGAGATGGTCAAAGACTGCAAACATGCTACGGTTGTTGAGGACTGGGGACATGCTTCAAAAGACAGTCATGGAATGAACATGGCACATGAGACCCCTAGAAATGTTAGTACAGCCCCTTTACAATGCAATGTTTCCACATTTGTTTTCCCCACATGCCACAACATAAGTGCCTAAGGGCCACATGTGGCCCCAAGTTGGATACTAAGAATATAGCTTATTAGATCTGAAAACAGTAGTCTCTTGGACACTTTAACATTTGTATAAATGATTTCCCTCAATGGAGCTGGTCCCTACTGAAGCCAGTAATGTGTGAAAGCCAATTAATTCACTAGTCCATATATTTTTTTTTGACACGTAGGAACACGGATGAAATAAGATCAGGTTGATGAGGATCATAAAAGCTAAAGTGTAACTTATTATACAGAAATCTGATAATGCATAGGCCTCAAACAACACTAGAAAGTCAGCTTCTGAAAGTCAAGAGCACAACTTAAAGGTGAATGCCGGGCTATTTACTGAGTGTGTGAAATTCTAAGGTCCACACACTACAGTAAGGCTGGCCATACATTACACCATTTTCTTGAGATTTTTGGTTTAGATTTACCAAAAACCATATAATAGGAGGTCAAACCTTAACAACACTTTCAATTGTATCCAATTAGGCAGGCCCTTGCACTACATAGTTGAAGATTAGTCTAAAGGAAATTGGGCAGAAATTGAACATTAAATTGTATAGTGTATGGCCAGCCTAAGTGGCAACATAATTATGTTGCTGCTCAAGCAGCGGCCATGGAAAGAATGTTCTTTCCTCTTCAGAGAGACTTCCAGTCTCCTGGTTGTAGCTGTTTCCCCTGAAGAACGCCAGAGAAACAAGAAATTGTGGTCTGGGCCTCTGTAACTGCTGAGCTGAGGGCCTGGAGAAGTTTACCAAAGGAGACTTTTTGGAGGGCACTGACTTTAAAGTATAACTAAAGGCAAAGCTTTTTTTTAAGTTTTGGATAGAGTGGAGATGGCTTAGAACAGGGCTTGAAATTTCCACTCGCCTGCTCGCCAATTCGAGTAGAAATTATGGTGGGGGCAAGTGTGTCCCCCAGGGCCATCTTGTGAGCAGGCTCGGAGCTCAGGCCGGATCTGTCATTGGCACTGGGAGCCGTCGGACTGCTCAATAGCTGAGCGCAGTGAAAGCAAAGCAAGGAGTGCCTGCAGTGCTCTTTGCCTTCCCCTAGAGTGCAGTACCCGGATCTGTGAGTGAACAACGAAGTACTGCAACTTTTTATGAGGTGCATGTATGTACGTGTACATGTGTGTGTGTCTGTATATGCATGTACAATTGTACATGTGTCTGTGCGTATGTACATGTATGTGTGTGTACATATATATACATGTGTATGTACGTACATGTGTCTGTGTATGTATGTACATGTGTCTGTGTGTATGTACGTGTGTCTGTGCGTGTGTATTTCTGTGTATGTACATGTATCTGTGTGTATGCATGTCTGCACATGCCTGTGTGTGTATACATGTGTCTGTGTGTGTATACATGTGTCTCTGTGCATGTGTGTACATGTTTCAGTGTGTGTGTATGTACATGTCTGTGTGTGTGTGTGTACAGCTGTCTCTGTTTTGTGTGTGTTTGTTGGTGGCGAGTAACTCTAAGGCCTGGCTAGTAGCTCAGGACTTGAAATTTTAAGCCCTGGATTAGAACACCTACTAGGTGTTTATTGCTGTTTGTGCCCACATTAGGGAGTTTCATCTTATCTATTTGTCCTGTTTGCCATTATCATTGAAAGTGAAAGCCCCAAATTTCGGGTTGTCCCCAGAAAAGTAATAGTGGGCAAATCTTCCAAAGGAGACACTAGTTCTGGTGACATAGGAATTACCTATGGATTCTATTTTGCAGGGATTTCCTCTCACTTCCTGTTTTGGGGATGAGACAGGAAGTGAAGGTAAATCTCCCCAACGGGACACAGATGGCAAAAAAAAAAACTGATGCATTATAACCATCCTTTACTGTATACATTTTTTTTAAGCATTTTCCATTTAGTTCTACTTTAAGCTCTGGTCTGGAGAAGAATCTTTTTTTTTTCCCTCACTGAGGATCTAACCGTGGATGCTGGTTGGCAGACAGCTACTGGGACACTGTGAGTAAAGACCTTGATTGGGACTATTAGTTGTGCAAGTGCCAGAAGAGCATTAAGTGCCAGAGGTTGCTGTATGGAATGCTGCTATAGGGTCCTAGATAGGGCTGTACCAGTACTAAACATTTGCAATAGTACTCGTGCAAATGCTCCAATACCTGAAACCGATGCCTTTGTGGTGCGCTTTAAGCTCATATAAAATGAGTGGGCTCAAATCACACTGCAAAGAATTGCATGTGATTTGAATAGGAATGCTAGAAATTTTGAAGGACCCTCTGCACACTGGTATATACCCTTTCAAGCAGACTATGCAATAAATAGGGATATTTAGTTCACATATATTGCTATACATGCTTAAGCTGGCCAACTGCGTCAAAGTAATCCCTCAATGGCCAGTCCTTCTCTGCTCTGCCTACGCAAATGCTACTGTGGACACAATGCTAGCATAGGGGAAAAGACACAATGGGGAGAGCTACAAGGTTCACGTCTGGCTACTGACCCAGCAATACAACAAACAAGAGATACCTGTGCTCAAATCCCAACAGCTGTTAGAAAATAAAAGAATAGAATAAAATAGAAAAAAAAATAGAAGAGAAAGAATATAACTGTCTTCTGAAATTCGAATAAAATAGAACCAGCTATTCTTCACAATGAATTTTGATTGATTTGATATTTTCAATTCAAATACTTTGAATCCATTAGAAAAATTTGAATCCTGTTTAAAACTATTAAAAGAAACTAAACAAAATGAATTTTGTTACAAATGCAACTAACTTAAATCTGTAACTTAACAAATCAATCCGAAACAAAACGAATTTTGTAATTCTGCAAATATTTATTGCAGACAGAGATTTTCCAAGAGGTTCACGTAGTTGAGAACAAGGTTAAAGTAATCTGAGTCACTGGGCTACAGAGTTTTTTTTAACTCCCTTATCCAATTTTCCTGGATCTTGAAGAGGTGCGCTTTTGTTAGTTGTCCAGTATTTGTCAGATGCCCGGGAGTATGGGTACAAAAAACACCAGCCATCATTGGAAGAAGACTACAAAACTAGTATGCGCTAAGGATATCTGGTAAATCATTCAACAACTGCTGAACCTGGAGGGTTCGCTTATAGGATCCTAAAGGAATAAGAGGAAACATCTGAAATGTTGGTAAAAGAAGCTAAGTCATTATGTATAAAGCAACGGCAAGAAGAGTTCAGAGGCTGACACATTTCCCCCTCCCCCTTCCTTCATTTCTCTTGCCATTGCTTTCTGAGGAAAGTGCTTGAAGTGGAGACGAGTTCAGGCTAAGAACCAGCCTTCTCCTTCATAGCTTTTGTTGGATTGGCTGCAGCAAGAGGGGAGGTCAGACCTCATAACTAGGGTTAGAAAGCACCTAGAACATGGGACAAAGTACTACATATACTTTATCTCATAGGGGACAGAACTGTAAAACAAAAATGATAATGACAGATATTCTTTAATGTGAAGACCACAGGATAAATAAAATACTTACAAGACCTTCAGTTACAGAAAGTGATATGTGGGGGTTGATTGTGGAATCTTGTCAACCACAGCCATGTTGGACATATTACTTGATGCCATATAATGCCAGTTCTCTTTTCTTGGCACATTATGCAATTGTAAAGTATTACAACTTTTGCATTTTATTGTGGAGGTCAGACATTTTGGCTTTTGGCTCACAATAATAGTCTAATAGTTGATGAACTGTAAATATAGTACTGGTTGTTTGCCAAACAATTAATGCATTTGTATAAAGTCTGGCTGTGTTTTATCTTTTGTATTATACATGGTATACTAAATATTTTGTTTTAGATTATGCCACTCAGCAAGCATTCTCTGTTTTACTGTTGCATAGTTGGTCAGGTTGAAAAAAAAAAGACACAAGTCCATTTAGTTCAACCCACAGGAAAAAAATACCGTATTTTTCACTGCATAAGACGCACCTGACCATAAAACGCACCTAGGTTTTAGAGTAGGAAAACAAGAAAAATAATATTCTGAACCAATGGACTGCAGACATAGTACAGGAAATGACCAGAGACTACAGACATAGTACAGGAGATGACCAGAGACTACAGACATAGTACAGGAGATGACCAGAGACTACAGACATAGTACAGGAGATGACCAGAGACTACAGACATAGTACAGGAGATGACCAGAGACTACAGACATAGTACAGGAGATGACCAGAGACTACAGACATAGTACAGGAGATGACCAGAGACTGCAGACATAGTACAGGAGATGACCAGAGACTGCAGACATGCAGATGTACTACAGGAGATGACCAGATACTGCAGAAATAGTACAGCAAATGACCAGAGACTGCGGATGTACTACAGGAGATGACCAGAGACTGCGGACATAGTACTGGAGATGACCAGAGACTGCGGGCATAGTGCTGGAGATGACCAGAGACTGCAGGCATAGTGCTGGAGATGACCAGAGACTGCGGACATAGTACTGGAGATGACCAGAGACTGCGGACATAGTACTGGAGATGACCAGAGACTACGGACATACTACAGGAGATGACCAGAGACTGCGGACATACTACAGGAGATGACCAGAGACTGCAGACATAGTACAGATGACCAGAGACTGCGGACATCATACTGGAGATGACCAGAGACAGCGGACATACTACAGGACATGACCAGAGACTGCGGACATAGTACTGGAGATGACCAGAGACTACGGACATACTACAGGAGATGACCAGAGACTGCGGACATACTACAGGAGATGACCAGAGACTGCAGACATAGTACAGATGACCAGAGACTGCTGACATCGTACTGGAGATGACCAGAGACAGCGGACATACTACAGGAGATGACCAGAGACTGCGGACATAGTACTGGAGATGACCAGAGACTGTGGACATACTACAGGAGATGACCAGAGACTATAGACCTTTGGGGCGTGGGTACCCGAATTTGACAGGTACCCGCTCCCACTTCTACTGCGATTGCCTCTCTCCCCGTAGTCTTCTGGGACACGTGACAGGCCCCAGAAGACTACGGGGCCATTCACAAAGCGCATCGCTTCTCGCACTTGCGCAGTGGGCACCCGACTGTGAAGCCGCAAGCTGTCACAGCCGGTTACCACACTAAAGATGCCGGCACCAGGGAGAGAAGATGGCTGGTGAGGACACTGCTGGACTGAGGAACAAGTAGGATCGAGGAGCAGGTTCTGCTGCACAGAAGAGCCGAGCGGCCATCCCGGTATTCAAACACGGCGGCGGAAACGGGGGGAATACCGGGCCAGCCTCTCCATATTTCTTCCATAAGATGCACAGACATTTCCCCCCATTTTTTTTGGGGGGGGGATGCATCTTATAGAGTGAAAAATACAGTAACTAAATAGAATAAATAAATAGAAAACCTCCAGAATTCTATACCCACAGTTGATGATCCAGAGGAAGGCAAAACAAAATCACCTATAAGGCATGGTCCAGTTAGCTTCAGTGGGGGTAAAATAATTTCCTTCCTAATCTCCCTGATGGAATTCTTTGGATCAATAATCTCTGGTATTATTGCCTATAGATGTTAGTATCCAGTTATATTTTGTGCATTCATCAATGCATCTAGCTCTTTTTAAAACAATATACTGAGCTGGTCAGAACTAGTTTTTGAGGAAGGCTATTTCACATTTTTACTGCTCTTACTGTAAAGAAGCCTTTCCATATGAGGGATTACATCTTATAATACAGACATAAAGCATGCCCCCCTTGTCCTCTGTAATAACCTTAAAGTGAATAACTCAACAACAAGTTCACAACATCAACTGCTTACAAATGTATACATGGTGATCATATCCCCCCTTAATCTCCTCTTCTCAAGAGAGAATACATTCAGTTCAGTCAATTTTTCCTCAAAGCTGAGCTCCTGCATGCCTCTTATCAGTTTGGTTGCTCTGCACGTTCTCCAGTTCTCCAATATTCCTTTAGTGAACTGGTACCCAGAACTGAACTGCATATTCCAGGTGAGGTCTTACCAATGGTTTTTACAGGGGAAAAAATGATGTCTCTATCTCTCTGGAGTCTATACCACTTTTAACAATGTATTTTGCTAGCTTTAGAACCACAGCTTGGCATTGCATATTATTATTATGCCTATGATCTACCAGAACACCCAGATCTTTCTCCACCATTGATTCCCCCAGCTGTTCTGCTCCTAAGATGCATTAGCCCCTATCTGTGTTACTGCAAATGATATTCACCGAGGAGAAAACCCTCTGTTTTGTATTGGTACTTTTTCAGTTACATCATTTGCTTCTGAAAGTCTAAAAGATTTTGCCATTGCACATCTGACCATACAAGATGTGTTGGGTTCTTGTGTTAAAGAATGCTGAATGTTGAGGTTTATATGTGATAATGGCATGGCATTTTATTAAGTATTTTATGTAGGTCCGTGAAGTTTTTAGAGTAATAGTTGTCTTTTTCAGCTCCTA